CATTATAACTATTACCATTACGATTGTTATTATCATAATCCTTATTTTTGGCATTATCATTATCATTATTATCATCATCATTTTTTTATTGTTATTATTAGTATACTATTATCCTCATTATTATTTATTATTATTATTATTATTATTATCATTATTAACAGCATTATGATTATCATGATTATTATTATTGTTATTATCACTATCATTAACATTGTTTTAATTATCATTATTATTATAATCATTAGTATCATCATTATCATCATCATCATCATCATATCCTTATAATTATTGTTATTGTTATTATTATCATTATTATTATTATTATTATTATTATTATTATTATCATTATCATTATCATTATTATTACAATTATTATTATCATCATTATCATTACTATCTTTATTATCATTATTATTACCACTATGATTATCATTATCATTATTATTATTATCATCATTATCACTATTATCATTATTGTTATCATCATTATTATCAGTATCATTATCATTATCATTACTAGTATTATTGTCATCACCATTATTATTGTTTCATAATATTATTACTATTGTTATTATTGTTATCATTATCATCATTATCATTATTACCACTAATATTATTATCATTAACATTATTGTAATAATTTTTTTTATTATCAATGCTATGATTGTTATAGTAATGATATTTGTTGTTACTATTATCGGCATTATTATTATTATTGATATTATTACTATTATCATTATCATTATTAGCATTATTACTATTGTTGTTGTTATTATTATTATCATTATTATCGTCATTATTATCATTATTATTGCTATTATTACCATTATCATTATTATCATTATTATCATTATTATTATTACTATTATTATTATTATTATTATCATTATTATTATTATTATTATTATTATTATTATTATTATTATCATTATTATTATATTTTATTAATCATTATTGCTGCCACTATGTTATTATCATCACTAGTATTATTATCATTATCATCATTATTGATATTGTTATTACCATTATCCTTATAATCATTATTATCATTATCATCATTATTATTATCATTACTTATATCATCATTATATTTACAATCATTATCATAATTATTATCATTTCTATCCTTACTATTATCATCATAACTATTTGTGGTAGTATATTACTATTATCATAACGACTACTATCATTATTACTATCATCACGGTTATCATTATCATCGTTATGCTATTATACCATAAACACATTATCATCAATTAACATTGTTGAGATTATTATCATCATTGTTTGTATCCGCATTATCATTATTATTATCGTTATCTTTATTTTTATCATTATCTTTATTATTATCATTATCATTGCTATTATTATCATTATCTTTGTTATTATTTAAATCATTATTATTATTATTATTACTATTATTATTGATCTTATTGTTATTAGTAGTATCTATAATAGTAATAGTATTTTTAATACTATTATTATGGATATAATCATTATCATTATTACTATCATTATTGTTATCATCATCATCGTCATTATCATTGTTAAAATGTTATTATTATCATTATTGCTATCAATTACCGTATTTTTAATATACTTTTTTATCATTGTTATTTAATATTGCTTTTTATCATTATGATAGTTGTTACCATCAGTTTAATCACAGTTTTGTCATTATAATTACCATTATCTTATCATTATTATCATCATTACTATTACGATTGTTATTGGCAATGATTACGCTATTTTATTACTATTATTATTATTTAAGGAACTTTTTTGTAATTCTTTAAAACAATTTTCACTGCTGTCTGTACGAATAAGGAAATTGATAGAATTGTTATCACTATGAACGTCACTATCAATATAATTTTCAGCATCAGCAACTGTACCCATTATATACCATCGTCTTCATTATGTTATTACTCTCACTAATCATTATATTTCCATTATCATTATTATGATTCTAAGCATTGTAATTTTTAGTATCATGATAATCATTATTTTCATCAACACAATTCACTTATTGTTGTTTTCATTATCACCTTAATTGGCACCATCACTGATACGATTATGGTTATTATTAGTGTCACTATTATTGCTAGTAACATATTTGCTTCCATCATCAATTTTAATACGATTCTCAATATCATCATCATTATTATCACTTCTAATATTATGATTATCATTATCATTACTGTTATTGTTTTTATTATCATTGTCACCATCATTAGTATTGATTTAGATATAATTATCGTTATTATTATTAGTACGATATTATCATTGTTTTTTCAATATCAATATGACAATTCAGTGTCATTTTATCATCGTTATCATGATCAATTATCATTATCATTATTGTCATTTTGCCATATCATTATAATTTTCATATCATTATCATATCATCATCACTGTAACAATCATAATCATCATCACCATAGTTAACATAATTAATATTACGACCATATTATTGCTGATATCAACATCATTAATGTGCGCGAGAGAGAGAGAGAGAGGAGAGAGAGGAGAAGAGAGAGAGAGAGAGAGAGAGGAGAGAGAGAGAGAGAGAGGAGGAGAGAGAGAGAGAGAGAGAGAGAGAAGAGAGCA